GCTGAGCCAGGGGGTGCTGCGTCTGGAGCTACTGAGCCTGGAGCTGCGGAGCCTGCGGCCACTGGACCTCCCCTTGTGGCGTCTGGCGGTGCGGGACCTGGCGGTTCTCCGGGTGCTTCGCCTCGGCGGGAGCCCCTCTCTCCACAGGAGCTGCGCGAGTGGTTTGCTCGCCGCTGGAGACGTACTGCTGGAGCTGGAGCTCCTTCGGCTGCTGAGGGTACTTGTGCCGCTGGTCCCGGAGCTGCTGGGCCCTCGGGTCCGCCTGGAGCTGGAGCTGCTGCGGGTGTTGGTGCTGAGACTGCTGCTGTCCTTCCTGGCGGCGGTCCTGCTGCGGGTACTGCTGGTGCTGCTGGAGGTACTGGAGCTGGAGGTGCTGTTGGCGCTGGTGCTGCTGCTGAGGGTGCTGTCCCTGCTGTGTCTGGAGTCGCCGCGCGGCCTCGGCCGTACTTCGTTCCACTCCTACAGCAGGTTCTTGGTCTTTCTCCTCCTGCAGCGTGTCCACAGCCTGTTCAGTCACAGTCCCAGTTAGAGCCCGCCTCCCCACTTCCTGCTCCCTCTCCTTACACTGGTCCCACTGGAGGTCTTGCTGAGCGTCGTGAGCCTGCGTCTCGTCCTGCGTCGCCTGTTCGTGCTGCTCGCGCTAGTGGTCGCGGTTCGCGTCAGCGTCCTCCTCCTGTCCCTGGCACGCACCGGATGTCTTTGCGTCCGTCCACTGCTCCTCTGCGTGCCCCTTTGCCTTCTCCTCCTGAGTCCTCCCTTCCTGCACTTACCGTCCCAGAGTCCGACTCTCTTCGTGCTGCTAGTCCTACTGTCACACGTCTCCTTGCTACTGTCGTCACTGACCCCTCTTTTGAGTCCACTGCTGCGTCTGCTCTTGTTGCTGAGCTCGTCGACTTTGCTGCTAGCTGTCGTCTAGACTACGCTGCCGGTCTTGTTGCTGAGTCTGCGTCTGTCTGTCCTCCGTCCGTCGGGGGTGAGTGTGCTCTTGGCACGGACGTCCTTGAGGACAGGCAGGAGGAGTTCCAGTGTCTGGCTGCTGCTTCACCTCATCTCGCGTCCGTACTACTTGCCCCTGAGGGAGACCCGGATGCACTAGACATCCCGACTCCGCGCTCTTACGCGGAGGCCGTAGAGGGTCCCTACTCCTCTCAGTGGCAGGCAGCTATGGATGCAGAGATGGCGTCCTGGAAGTCCACAGGCACCTACGTTGACGCGGTTCCCCCTCCTGGGGCGAACATCGTCAGTGGCATGTGGATCTTCAGGGTGAAGCGGCCGCCGGGCTCTCCACCTGTCTTCAAGGCGCGGTACGTCGCTCGTGGCTTCAGTCAGCGGCAGGGAGTTGACTACTTTCAGACCTTCTCTCCCACCCCGAAGATGACCACTCTTCGGGTGCTGCTGCACATAGCCGCTCAGCGCGACTACGAGCTCCACTCTCTTGACTTCAGCACTGCTTTCTTGCAGGGTAGCCTGCACGAGGAGATCTGGCTGCGCCGTCCACCTGGCTTCACTGGGACTTTCCCTACTGGCACCCAGTGGAGCCTCCGACGGCCAGTCTACGGTCTCCGCCAGGCACCGCGTGAGTGGCACGACACACTGAGGACTACGCTTGCGGCTCTTGGGTTTGCTCCCTCTACTGCTGACCCGTCGTTGTTTCTGCGCACCGACACTTCTTTGCCGCCGTTCTACATCCTCGTGTACGTCGACGACTTGGTCTTTGCCACAGCTGACACTGCTGGACTCGCCCACGTGAAGTCCGAGCTGCAGAAGAGACACACGTGCACAGACCTGGGTGAACTGCGCAGCTACCTTGGCTTGCAGATCACTCGGGACAGAGCACGCCGCACCATTACCTTGACTCAGTCACACATGGTGCAGCAGGTCCTTCAGCGCTTCGGCTTCACGTACTCCTCGCCTCAGGCCACTCCTCTGTCTACTCGCCACTCGCTCTCAGCTCTGCCTTCGGATGAGTCCGTAGAGTCGAGTGGCCCGTACCCAGAGCTTGTTGGCTGCCTCATGTACCTGATGACCTGCACACGACCTGACCTTGCATACCCTCTTAGCATTCTTGCACGCTATGTTGCTCCTGGGAGACACCGACCAGAGCACATGGCTGCAGCGAAGAGGGTGTTGCGCTACTTGTGCAGTACGTCGGGCATGGGGCTAGTGCTTGGAGGGCGGAGTCCAGTGGTCCTCACTGGGCACGCGGACGCTTCTTGGGCTGACGACCAGGCTACGCAGCGGTCGTCGCAGGGTTACACCTTCAGTCTTGGTTCCGGCTCTGTCTCGTGGCGGGCTACTCGCTCGTCCTCTGTTCTCGGCTCCAGTTGTGAGGCTGAGATCTACGCCGGGGCCATGGCTGCACAGGAGCTTCGCTGGCTCACCTACCTGCTGACTGACCTTGGAGAGCCGCCTCGTTCTCCTCCAGTGCTGTACGTAGATAACAAGGCCATGCTGGCCTTGTGTCGAGAGCAGCGCTTGGAGCACAGAACGAAGCACATTGCTCTCTGTTACTTTCTTGCTCGTGAGCTGCAGCAGCGTGGTCAGTTGCGACTTGCGTACGTGGCCTCTGAGGCCAACACTGCTGATGTGTTCACCAAGGCACTTGCGCCTTGTGATCATCAGCGCTTCTGCACTCAGCTGGGTCTTGTACCTGTCTTGCCTCACTTGCTCTCCTCTTGACCTTGCTTGTACTGTCACATATATATACCTGCTCTTGCTTGTCTAGCTCTATATATATATGTGCACTCCTGCATGTGAACTGGCCTTGTGGCCTTGTCGTTGTGCTCGGACTGTGTGGTGACTTTGTGATCCACCCTGAGCTTGCTGTGCTTTGCGTGACTGGTCTTGTGACCCCTTGTTCTCCCCCACTTTGCCTATGGGGGTGTGTCAGAACATATATATAGCTTATGCTGTTGTGTAGGCTATAGTGGGGTATCCCATAGGGGGTACAACCCAATTAGGGTTTCCTATATGTACTCACTTCATTCATAGTTCATTCATTCTTGTTCAAATCTTCTCAGCGACGGCGCACAGGGTCGCTCTGGCCAAGGCGAAGGATAAAGAGAAGGCTTTACAAGACGCGCTCGCCATCGAGTAGGACCGCATTTCAAGCGTACGCCATCTCGTCTCCTTTCGCCTTGTTGCTTCTTTCCATCTGCTTTTGTCTGCGCTCCCTCCGTCGTTGATTCCCTTGCATCCCTGCGTTCTCCAATGTTATTAAGCAAAATCGATTCTCAAAATGTTCGCAGTTTGAGCGTTTAACTTGAATGAAGTTCAGATGAAATTTATTACGGACCCCATTTCAGTACCCTGGCCGTCGGGCGATGCCTTAACTGTTTCTATTTGTACTGAAGATGGCGCGAGATGTGAAGGTGCTGGGGGTGGAGGTGGAAAAGCAAAAAGAAAATCGAAACGAAAGTTGAAAATTCTACAACCGTTTTGCGGAAAACAAAAGTCTTGCGATGTCTCCTTTTCGCTGCAGATGGAGCGAGGCGTGAAGGAGCTGCAGGTAATTATGTATTGCGTACAATGTTCCCCCCCCCCCCCCCCCCCCTTTTTTTACCGCAGATGGAGGGAGCCGTGAAGGAGCTGCGGATGGTGGTGGAGGTGACGAAGAAGCACGCGCGCACGGAGCTAGACCAGGCCAATACCACCATGGCCGCCGTGGGGAAGAAGTTGGCGGTGGCGGAGGCGGCTAACCGGCAGGTGGAGGCGAATGGCCGGCGCGAAGTTCAGGCGGAGAAGGACAGGTGAGAGAGGGGAAAGGCTGTTTGCAAGCCGGGGAGAGAGAGATGTGTTGGGATACTTGTGAGGATGGCGCTTGCTTCCGGGTTAGGTTGAGTTGCTGCCTACCTCTAGGGCCTCTTCGCAAATTCCTTGTACCATGGTGTTCTGAATATCAGACTCTGTGTTCCTCGTTATGGCTAATCATTTCTGAGCTCGATCCTCGAACCTTACACGATACGACTGCGAAATTCTTGCAATCGTGCACGTGTTCAAAGTGTGACACTGTTACTTGACTGGCGCAGACGTGACAATAGGGGCAGATCATTGCTTGCTACAGTACCTTCGCACGCAACCCCAGCTCAACCCACGATAGATCCGCTGGCTCGACTTCCTTCGAGTCAAACTTTTATTACACTGTCACCTACAAAAAGGATGCTTCCAATATCGCCGATGCACTGACCCGCCCGACCGCCCAAATACGCGCGGTACTCCTCACCCAGACCAGCCCCCTGCTCACTGGCATATTCACCCACGGCTACCAAACATGCCCATTCTTCACAGGAGGCAACTCGCAGAAGTTTGCAAGAGCACAAGGAGTGTATTACGCAAAATCCGGCATCGATTGCATCTGGGGTGCAGGGCTACACACTACTGCGGAAATTACTAATACCGGAGGCACATGACGGAACTACCCCGGGACATTTCGGGGTCAAAAAAGTACGATATCAGATGCAGCGGTATTATTATTGGCCCAATATTCTGACCAACAAACAGCGACACGTGACATCGTGCCCCACCTGCCAGCTCATAAACTTATCACGGCATTGACCGGCATGCAAGTTACTGCAGATACCACCCCTGTCAAACTATGTTATTGCATATTTTGTATAACTGCTTGTAGTTTAGATAGTGTAGTTACATTGTGTTCTTGTTTGGTGGTGCACCCTCCTTCTTGACTATATCTTGTATGTATTGCCATTAGTGAAACCCCTTTTTGGCCCAAATCTCGCTTTCACGCGCACGCTACGTTCGTAACCTAGCCATGGCTCCTAAGGCGAGTTCACATTCTTCCTCAGCTAAGATCGTATTGTGACATATTATCAGAGCCAGGTCCGAAAACGGACCATGTATCATGGCACCTCCCGTGGCGCCATTCGTCATGATGCTACCCGTCGTACCTTGTCCCCACCCGTACGCTTCCCATGGCTCGACGCCCATTTCCCCGCCCGTCGTCAGCTCACCGCCGCCCGTCGTCAGCTCCCCGCCCCCCGTCGTCAGCTCCCGCCGCCCGTCGTCAGCTCCCCGCCGCACGTAGTCAGCTCCCCGCCGCCCGTCGTCAGCTCCCCGCCGCCCGTCGTCAGCTCCCCGCCGCACGTCGTCAGCTCCCCGCCGCCCGTCGTCAGCTCCTCGTCACCGGCGAGCCCCAAGTTCCGGCCACCAGCCCCATACGCCGCGCACCAACAGCTATCCCCGCCCGCCCTCCCATCGACCTCTCTGGTGATGCCGCGACTGCAATTTCCGTGGCTGCAGCTGTTGCCCTCCTCCGTCACCTCACCCGCGCCTCCCTCAGCACTCCTGATGTTAGGGGAGGTGATGGGGGTGGCGGCCAGCACGGAGGATGTGGGGGGAGTGGGGCTGCACCGGCAGCCACTGCTCTGCCGCCCATGACATTGAGGGGGGAAGGCCGAGGGGGTGGCGGCCAGTGGATTTTGCTGTGCCTACCGTGGGTGGGGAGGGGTCTAGAGGAAGGACGGGGGGGAGGGGATGAGGTTCCAGGGGGCGGCGGAGAAGGGGGGTTCAGGGGGGTGGCTAAATGGGGGTGTGGATTTGGGGGTTAGTAAGAGGGGTTCGCCGCTACTGGCCCTTCCACCTCCTCTCCTCATCCCTCTCTCACATCTCCCTTTGTAAAAGGGGGTTGATAAGAGGGGTTTGCCGCGACTGCCCCCCCCACCTCCTCTCCTCATCCCTCTCTCACCTCCTCCTTCGTACTTCACTCCTCTCCTCTCCTCGAATGGTCCTTTCATTAATGTACAACTTGAAGTATAGTCAAGAGCAAGAGGAGCACATAAAAGAGACTAACATTTACTTCCCTATCTAGCCCTCCAAGGGTTGCAAAGCAATCCCTTGGGTTCAGCACCCCCTCCGGCCCGCCAACTGGCGGGTTCTCTACTTGGGCTGTCAGGTTCAACTTCTTAAAGCTGTCGCCTACATACTTCCTGCGGGAGGCCTAGGTTTATCACTTGAAAACACGGTAGCACCTAGCTTCGCTCCAACCTTGAGTGGCGAGGTGCAGTTACTGCTTTGTGACAACACAACCTCACCTCTGAAAATTGGCCGAAACAGGATTGGCTTCTAGTTTTCCCGCCAATCTCCTCCCCAACCCGGATTGGTTGCATGTTGTGGCAAAATCGCCAACACGACCTTCTCCTCCCGAAATACTTACCCCCCAACCAAACCTTTCACGAAACTGGCAGGATTCGCCAGTTCTGTTTCAAAACATTCGCTCCCTCATTTATGGAAAATGGTCATTTCGTTCCCCAATCAGCATCCGTCCTAGTGTGTGCACCTGAAATGCCCCCAAAAAATACTTTTTAGTATGTAGACCGCAGCTTTAAGGTAGCTTGGCGCCTGTCCTCGTTGCAGGGAGATGTACCATCGCTGCCAGAACTAGTGCAAATTTTTGGCGGCTTGGTAAGATGTCGGGTCTGCGTTGAAGAGGTTGCGGGCTGCCGTATCAGCCAGCAGCTTAAGGAAGGGTGGGGACCTCCTCGCATGGACACCCATATGTTTCAACCGCTAGCAGGAAAAACCCAACCCAGGAGGAGCGGGTCCGGTAGTGATATATTTTCTTGTCGGCCATTTCCCGCACCATCCATCCTTGTTCTTTTGTGGCCTTCTCATCGCGGCTGATGATTGGATCAGTAACAGTGACGTCACATAACCATACTCCACCTGAGGTACGGTCCCGGATTTCAAAATCAGCCTATTGCTTATCCACCGGGCAAAATGTCGTTGACTCTGTATGCACTGTGAAGCCCGCGACCTGTGCCATTCGTACGCACTCGTCTCTCGCTCCGTTGTGTATGTCAGTCCGTCCGTGTCCTGTGCCGCAGCGAAGAAGGTGGTTGGGTAGCTGTTTTTCCAGGATGGGGATCCTGGCACGGCACTCGCAGCGGTCTGGTACGGGTAGGGGCGATCCGAGCCAGAATTGGAGTGCGAATGCAAACAGTTCCGGGTTGAGGCGGAGGGAGGGCATGTACGGGATGGCGAGTAGCAATCCCCTGTGCCATATCCTATGAGAGGCAGTAGCCACAGTGAGTTCAAATCCATCTGTCTTGAGGTTACCACCTACGCAGCGAATCAGTTGCCCTGGATGAGTAGGGCGAGGCTGTGCTGCAGTCGGTTGTTGGGGCAGTCCATACTGCCGTGAGCAGCTCCATGGCCTCCTGACCCAATGCGGCTTAACATTCAAGGAGCCATCGCTGTTGCTTGTGCTGATCTGTGCTGTCGGCAGCTGGTCGAGCCAATGTGCCGGTCAGGTGCAGGCTCGTGGACCCTGGTAGGGAGTTGAGAGTATTTGTGCCTGCACGAAGCTGGCGAGAAAACTGTATATGCCTTCAACCGAGGGGTCTATGAGGTCGAGCCCCCCGAGGGATGATGGCAGAGATGCCTGTCCCCACACCCGCTGCTCCTCTGCCATCCCCCTCGGGTGGTGGACACCGCACGCCTCCAGAAGAGTAAGGAGTTGCGCCTGGCCCCAGCGGGACCATTCAGTCTTGTGACATATTATCAGCGAGCTGCAAACTAAAAATTTTACATACTGCTTATGCTCGTGTAAAACTTTCACATACTGCTTCCAAGTCAGCTAAGTGCTGCTGCTTGTCTGGACTGTAAACCAGGATGTTGTCAAGGTAAACGATAACGCAATTATCTAGTCATTTGGAATGTCGCGGGTGCATCGGTCACCCCGAATGGCATCACTGTGTACTCGAATGACCCATATCTAGTCATAGAAGTGGTGTTGGTGCAGTCTGCTGGTTTGACCTGAATTTGATGGTAACTATTGTGTAAGACGATTTCCTAAAAGACCCTACCTGTTTGCAGTTGGTCGATTAGTTTGTCGGCGCGGGGACGGGGTATTGTGACTTGATTGTTACCCCATTCAGAGCGCGGTAATCGATGTACATGCGAAACATGTCGTCCTTATTCGGTGTGAATAGTATCGGTGCGGCGAACGGCGACGAACTCGGTCGGATGATTTTTTTTCTCGAGCAGATAATCTAGTTGCTTCCTCATTTCGTCCAACTCGGGTTGTGTCAGTCGAAATTGTCACTGTACGGTTCGCTCTGCCCCCGGTTCTAATTTTATGTGGTCGTCGTGTTGTTGCTGAGGTGGCACTCTCTTTGTTAAGTCATCGAGAAAAATCTTGGGTTACCGTTTCAGCAACTCCTATAGTTTGGGCAGTACAGCTGCAAGAAGTGCATGAAAATCACTCGACTTTTTGGCTTCTCCTACTTCCGTAACATCCACTGCGTCCAAGACAGCTCCTGAAGTGATAGCCCACTTCCTTGTTATAGCGTTGACGTGGACCGTTGAAGACTTAGGCGACTGCCAGCGAGGTAATGCGACCCAATTACCGCCGCTTCGCACAGTGCAGCTGCCTGTGGTCCAGTCAATTCGCGGGTTTTATCGTCGCAGCCAATCATGTCCTAGTCAAATCACAGCTGTCCCCCGTATGTTCGCGTGAATCAGTACTGGGCAATCTGTCGTTGTACCATCCTTATTCAGCCGAGCCCGATCGATTGCGTGAATCGGTACAATCACTTGATGACGGTCAGTAGGGTCAGGCGAGCCACGATTCTTGTCAATAGTGGGGCCGTATTCTTCTCATCTGGAAATTCCCTTTCTTCCAAACTCCCTCCCATGTTGTGCTCCTCGGCGCTTTAGCTCCTCTGTGCATTCGCTCTTGTGATGGTCCAGCCTGTTGTACGCGAAGCAGCACCCCTTAAATGGCGCAGCCGTTGCATTCGTCGCAATGGCGTGAACCGTGGCGTGCTCGGTCGTTCCCTGAGTACGTTGTCCGCAGTGTGTAGGACCCCGGCCTCGGTCGTCGCAGAATGTCGATTTTCTTGGCGAACGCCAGGATTCGGTTGAAATCCAAAATACCGCGTAGGAGAATATCGTGCACAACTTTCGGCTTCAGGCCACCGACGTAGCAATCCACTCGCTCCGCTTCTTGCATGTAGCCGACTTGTTCAAACAGCGTGCGAGAAAACCGCAGGTGTAGTCTTGAACCGACCCAAGCTGCCGCCAAGTGCGCAGCCTCTGGCGTTTTGAGATCGAAGTGGCGAACGGCTCGTAGCGCGCCCATAGGCCTGCGCACCACGCGTCCCACGTGCGGTATTGGGCGACTTTGCAGGACAAACTTCATGCGACAACTAGCCCCCGAGGTCCTCTCCTCTTTCGACAATGGCTCGTAGGCGCTCGGCGACGTTACGATAACTCGCCACAGTCCATGGCGCATAGCCAAGGACACGGGGCACCAGATCTTCATCGCACCCGGCGTGACGCAATCCGTATAAAAAAATACCTCCATAGTAAACACCCACGATTGAACCGTCGGACATCCATGCTGGCTAGGATTGAACCAGATTGGGCGCTGCGGCTTAAGTGGCATCGACTCACCGATGTCATTGTTGCCGACGAGTGCCTCAATGCTGATGTGATGACGGTTTTTGTGAGGTGTGTTCACGCCCGGTGCTTCCCTACTTCGTTCAGTTTGTGCACGTGCATTTGCTAGTGCTCGTGCCGGTGCATTCGTCGTCGACAGCTGCCGTGCGGAATCACGCTCCGCCGTGAGTGTCGCGATTGTCAGAATCCCAACCACTAGACCATTGGGATAAAAGGGCTTGTTAAGTAGCGGGTCAGTGCGCCCATAACCCCCCAGGCAAACGCGCCTGTAACCCCCCCTAGGATCGATCGGGGATCTCACAGTGCAGCTCTACTGACACCCCCCCACACTGGGAGGCCCAGGACTGAGCACAGTGGCAACGGCCTACATGTGCATACACCGGGATTCGAACCCGAGACCTCTCTGATACCATGTCAGAATCCCAACCACTAGACCATTGGGATAAAAGGGCTTGTTAAGTAGCGGGTCAGTGCGCCCATAACCCCCCAGGCAAACGCGCCTGTAACCCCCCCTAGGATCGATCGGGGATCTCACAGTGCAGCTCTACTGACAGCGATTTCGAGCTTAGATTCCCTTCGTTGGCATATGATTTCGTCGAGGTGCTCTTGCGTCAACGATGCGAGCGAAATGCGGCCGGATTTGTCCATGGCGGGGGTGTCGGGCTAGCCCCGAAGTAGCCTCTGTCATGGCTCTGTGTGCTTACGAAAAGCACACGAGCAGCAGTGCTGGTCGCTGAGGGACGTCTACCTTCCCCAAAAATGTGATAAGATGGAAGCGAAGGTGTGTGCGCGATCTGAAAAGGCTCGTCACTTTGAAACTAAGCAATACGAATGCAATTGAATGAGCGAACGAAAATTGCACTATCAAAGTGAAACACTACATTGAGCGAAGGCATTCGCGGGTGTTGAATAGCAAACTAGCGAGGTAGCGATAACGAGTGAATTGTGGACTGCGCGACGGGCCTGGCGTTGAAGTTGGGAATTGCCGAGGCAGAGGGCCGAAAGCGCGGGCTACTAGCCGAGCCGTGAGGTTGGGTTGCGAAGGGAAAGGTGGTCGAGGCGAGTGTCGCGAGGTGGTAACTGTTTACTGTTGGGGTACTGTGGCGGGAACAGTCGTGTACGCGGTAAGCAGGGGCACCAAGTAAGGAAAATGAGAGTTCCTTACATAAGGACAATAATGCAAGCTTCCGGATTTGACCTGATTTTCTGATATAAGATTACACTATAGAGCGCAAGCAAACATCAACAGTCGTAACTGGGATTTGACCTGATGGTTGTACTCGGTTCGGAGTAGTTTAGAAGCGAATCTGCCAGACATTCCAAGTTGGACCCCGCAATTCATGCGTACCGCCATTGGGCAACCAAGCACCAACGAAGCGGGTTTTCGGGCATTCGCGGACATTCGAAGCCAGGAGAGGCAAGGGGGAAAGGAGAAGGCGGAAACTTGAGGGCGAGAGGCGGAAAGTTGGAAGACAGGGGGAGACAGGAGGATGAAGGCAGAAGGATGGAGGTGGAAGCGGAACGAGGGTTTCAAACTTCCTGGCCTGCCTAGGAAAATCAAGATCTGCCTTCCTTTTGTTGGCCTTGGGAATTGTGTAACGCGAGGTTGATTTGAATTTTGGGAGGAGCTTTGCCGAGGCAATTACAGATGCCTTCTTCATTCATTGCTCAAATGCAGGCACCGTGATCATCCACCTGACGCGCAGGCATGCGTTCTCCAGCTCGATGCTGCTGAAATGCTGAGCGTGGACGGGAGGGCTGCTGCCGCTCTGCTTGGTATGTTTCCGTTTCGCTCAGCTCAGGAAAATGGAGCCCTTCCGCTTGTGGAACAGGATCACGGAGAGCGAGGTCATTCCGAAGGTATAAGCCGGTTCGGGGCGGTTCAGCCGAGAGTAGAGGTGGATCGAGCGTTGCCGTCGCCGTCGCACGAGCGTCAGCGGCGGAAGGCTCATCTTCAACCTCCACGCCAGCAGTCGCAGCCCCCTGTCTCGCAGCAAGGCTCGTCGGGGCTGTCAGATCAGAACGGGCATTTACGAGTCGACCCGCAAATGTCTCCCTCCCAACCACACGCCTCTCAGCAAGCATCTGCTTTACTGTCCGACCCTCTAGTTGCTCAGCTAACCCCTGTGGCCTCACCGCTCGTGTCGCAGCGTTTAGTATCGGGAGCGGATCTAGCGCGCCGGCAGCAGCTGGCGCTGCTATCGCATCACCTTTTGGCGTCGGGACTGGCCAACGGTCGTTTGACAAATAACCACGCTTGGCCGTGTCACCCTCGTTCAGCGGCTCAAGCGTCTCAGATTACGGTTACGAATCAAACGAATAACGCGTCTCAGATGATTCACGCGACTCAGTCGATTCACGCGACTCAGACGGCTCAGGCAGGCGTCACAGGGACGGCTGACAGCAGTCGATTAGATCCCTGCGGGCCCTCGGGGCTGAAGCCCTCGCTTGTGGCGAATGCGATTCCTTCGGCCGCGAGGCAGGGGGCAGGGTTGGCAGCGGAGGGGCCGTTGCTGGATGGGAAAACCGCTCTCTTTCTTTCCTCCGGCCGTCAGTCCCCTTCCCCTCTACTGCTCCCGCCATCCCCCATGCTGCGGCAGCAGCAATCAATTCAACCGCTGCCCGCCGCGCAGAACGAGCAGCCACTGGTGCCCCGATCAGCGGCGCTTCCTCGTCCGTCTGCCGTCGTGTCCGCGCCGTCGCAGCGCCGCGTGCAGAGCGGCGCGGTCGGCGGGTGCGAGCCCACATCGCACGGTGGAGCGCACGCAATTGTTCTGCCCTCTGCACCACCGCATTGGCTCCCATCTGATCGACAGCTGCTTCAGGCGCTTCAGCAGCAGCAGCTGAAGTGGCTGCAGCAGGCACATCAGCCGCAGCAGGTAAACGAGCAGCAGGCGGCACAGCGCCCGCAGCAGCAGCACCAGGAGCCGCCGCAGCAGCCGCAGGAACAGCAGCAGCAGCAGCAGCAGCAGCAGCAGCAGCAAACGGAGCAGGAACAGAGACAGGAGGAGCAACAGCAGCAGCAGGAGCAACAACAGCAACAGCAACAGCAACAGCAGGAGCAAGAGCAGGAGCAGGAGCAGGATCAGCAGCAGCAACAGAAGCAGAAGCAGCAACAAGAACAGAAGCAGGGGCAGGAGCAGCAGCAACAACAACATCAACAACAGCAGGAGCAGGGGCAAGGGCAAGGGCAGGGGCACGGGCAGGGGCAGGGGCAGGGGCAGGGGCAGGGGCAGGGGCAGGGGCAGGGGCAGGGGCAGGGGCAGGGGCAGGGGCAGGGGCAGGGGCAGCATGAGAAGTATGATGATGAGGAGGAGCAGGAGCAGGAGCAGCAACAGCAGCAGCAACAGCAACAGCAACAGCAGCAGCAACAGCAACAGCAGCAGCAGCAGCAGCAACAGCAGCAGCAACAGCAGCAGCAGCAGCAGCAGCAGCAGCAGCAGCAACAGCAGCAGCAGCAGCAGCAGCAGCAGCAGCAGCAGCGGCAAGGTCAAGGGTTGGGCAGAGGGAAGGGGCGAGGGAAGGGTAAGGGCAAGGGCAAGGGCAAGCGCGGATGGCGGTCGCCACTGGTCGTTGGGGCGAACGGTTCCCCCGCGCCAGACAAGGCGGCCCCGTCCGCGGGCAAGAAGCGCCGCCACCTTGTGGACGAGCCGCCAGGGCTGTGGCTGGGTGACGAGTGCGACGCTGCCACGTGTACGTCGGACCGGTCGGGTAGCCCGTGTGGCGTGTGCGCGGCGAGCGTGCTGGTGGTGCAGGGCGACCGCGGGTGGCGCGAGGGCGGGGCGGCTGTGGAGGCGAGGGTGGTGGGCGACGAGGAGGGCGGGGCGAGCGCGCACGTGCTCGCCGTGCTGCTGCGCGGCCACGCGCGCTTCTCGTACCGCCCGGAGCAGGCGGGGGCGACGGGCAGCAGCAACCGGGTGACGGGCGCCATCATGTGGCGCCCCCCCGACGCCGACGCGGGCAGCAGCGGGACCTCGTGGGCGCTGGAGTTTGCGGAGAGGAAGGAGTGGCGAAGGTTCCAGCAGCTGCACGACTCATGCGCCCAGCGCAACAGCCGCACCGTGTCGGCGCGCCGCATCCCCATCCCCGGCGTGCGCCTCGTGCCCTGGCGCTGGCGCCTGCGCGGCTCCTCCGCGTGCGCGGCCAGCAGCAGCGCCAGCAGCGACAGCGTGGCGGGGCCGGTGGAGGGCGCGGAGGCGGGTGAGGGGCGCGAGGCGTTCGCCCCCCCGGCGGGGTACATCCGCGGCGTGGACGAGGCGGAGCGCGTGCGGGTTGGCAGCCGCCACGTGGTGTACGACCTCGACTCCGACGACGAGCGCTTCCTCTCCGCGCTCCCGCGCACCCTCCGCCGCGCAGGGTTGGAGGGGCAGGCAGGAGGGGAAGGGCAGGCAGGGTGGGAGGGGCAGGCAGGGGGGGAGGGGCAGGCAGGGGGGGAGGGGCAGGGAGGGGGGAATGGGCAGGCAGGGGGGAATGGGCAGGCAGGGGCAGAGACGGCGGGACAAAGGGTTGAGAGTGTCGCGTGTGAGGGCAGAGGGGGTGATGGGGAAGTGTCGGGGAGTGCAGTGGCAGTGAGCGAGGGGCAGGTGGCGGTGAGCGAGGGGCAGGTGGAGAGGGTGATGGACCGGCTGGAAAAGGAGTCATTCGCTGCGCGCTTGTTGCTCTCCGAGGCACACGCCCTGCACTGCTGCGCGCACCTGGCGTCGCCAGATGCCGTGCGCGCCATCTTCTACCACTGGCGCGCCAAGCGCGCCCGCAAGGGCACCGCCCTCTGCCGCCACTTCCAGGTCAGCCCGCTGCCCTCCGCCCGCCGCCCTCCGCCAGCGCCCCTCATGTCTGCCCACGCCCCTCATGTCTGCCCGCGCCCCTCATGTCTGTCCGCGCCCCTCATGTCTGCCTGCGGCTTGCCCCATGCAGGCTCGTTTCTCTTGCTGCCCATCCGGCTAGTCGGCCAGGAGCATTTTTTTTTTCTCTTGCATGCACCCACGAGCTTGCCTTCTCATTCCACTTGTGCCCCTCCCGCCCTGTCCGGCCCCCCTCTTCCTCCCCCGTGTCATGCGACGCCCCGCCGCTGCAGCGCGCGCCGTGGGAGGTGTATCAGGCGCAGGTGAACGAGTGGCAGCGGCAGCTGCAGCTGCTGCAAGCCCGCGAGGCCACGCCCCTCGCTCCGTCTCCCGCGCCGTGGGCCCCGGGGCAGCCGGGAGGAGGTGCGGAGGCAGTAGCGGAGCAGAGGACGGGCGAGGGAGCGGGGATGGGTGGCGTGGCGAGGCAGGGGGAGAGTGGTGCCGCGCTGCAGAGGGCACCAAACGACCACTCGCAGCAGCAGCAAGAGGAGGGAGGGGAGCAGCAGCAGGAGGGAGGAGCGGGGCGTGCGGTAGCAGGGCAGCAGGGGCAGGTGTCAGCTGGTGCAGCAGCCACGCACGAGCAGCGTGAACCCCACGGCCAGCACGCACCCAGCACGGCAGCACCAGGTGCCGCAGCAGCAGGTTCATCCACTCCTGCGCGCCTTCCCAGAAGCTTGGCCGCCTCCTCCTCTCCTTTCCCCTCACCCATTCCCTTCGGCACCCCCATCACCCCCGGCCCTGGCAGTGCAGCGCAGCAGCGTGTGCCCGCCATCCCCCGCCCTCCACTCTTTGCCTTCTGCCTGCAGCCGCGCGCCCACGCGCGCAGGGCCGCCTTCCCCTCGCGCCCGCGCTCCACCAAGCGTGCGCCGGCCTCCGCGGAGCACGTGGCGGGCGCATGGGGCGGCGCCGCTGCGGACAGTGTGGAGGGCAGCCCCAGGGTGGGGGGCGTGGCGGCGCGCGCAGAGGCGCTCCCCGTGGGCGAGGCGCAGCAGGGAGGGCGGAGAGAGGGCGCGGAGGTGCTGGTGGCGGCCAAAAGGCAGCGCCGCGTGGTGTGCCTCGCAGGTGAGCCAAACCCTCCCCCTCGCCCTTCCGCTGTGCCGCGCGCCTTCTCCCCACTCAATGCACCGCCTCAATTCCCCGCACCTCCCTCCTGCCAAACCCTTGCTCGCTCGGCTGTGCCCCCCACTGCAGACCTGGGAGGCGAGGAGGCAGAGGGCAGCAGCAAGGGCGGCTCAGCAGGCGGGGCAGCAGGGGGAGCAGCAGAGTCTTTCCCTGGCGCAGGCCATGAGGGGGTGAGTGCGCCGCATGGGGACCTATCTCGCGCGCACCCCTCGTCTGCGCGCCCCTCGCCCACAGCGTGGCCTCGCCTCACCACCACCTCGCCGCGGTCGCCCCTCCCCTTTGCCTTTCGCCTGAGCCCGCGCCTCAACACTTCGGAGCCAGCACACCTGGATGCCACTCCACAGGCACTGCCGCCGGCGCAACAGGAGGTGTACGGGGGGGGCGAGGGGGGGATGAGGCAGTTGCTGAGGCAGCAGCAGGCGAGGCATGCGAGGGGGCGGGCAGCGTGGGGCCAGCTGACGGGCAGCGCGGGGGTGAGCGGGGCAGGCGGGGACGAAGCAGCAGCGCCCACGCCACCACACGGCGCTGCTGCAGGGCGACTTGCTCTGCCCGCTGCCTCCGCACCGCAGCACCAACCGCCCGGCGCTCCCGTGGTGGCTGCAGTGCTGCGTGGCGCCCCCACTGCTGCTCGCGCCCAGAGTGGCCCTCCTTCACACGCAGCTGTGGGGGATACAGGGGCCGGACAGCCGTGGGAGCATGCGAGAGGCGGCGAGGATGAGGCGCAGCAGCAGAAGAGAGGAGTGGCGGGCGTGCGGTCAGAGCTGCTGTCGCTGGCGCACGCGCGCCCACCAGGCAGTGCAACCAATCAGGCACGTGCGGCTGCTGCGGCGGCGCCTGGGGAAGGCAGGGATGCAGCGCCGAGAGATGTGGGCGCAGGGCAGTGGGCGCATTGCGCGGCGGAGGGGAGGCCGCTGGCGCTGAGTGTGGGAGGTAGAGCGCAGGGGATTGTAGGCGCAGGGGGAAGGGGAAGGCGCAGGGCGCGGGCAGTGTTGGTGCTGCAGCAGACACAGCAGCACGTGGGGTGGGCAGGGCAGGTGGAGGAGGGGGCAGGCGAGGCAGGTGGTACACAAGGTCGCGGAGACAGCTCTTTGAGTGGCGCAGAGGTGCACGCAGTGGGTCACGAGGCACAGGCGCTCGCAGGCAGCAGCAGGGGGGGGAGGCGGGTGGTGGGTCACAGGTTGCCCCGGGTGAGCAGACTAGCGGCGCCTGCGATGCGTGGCGGCGTGGCAGCAGGTGGTGGGCGCGAGGCGGGTGCAGTGGGCGCACAGGAGCTGGGATATGCTGGGACGGGTGCTGAAGATGAAGAGTGGGGCAGCGAGGTTGGGAGAGAGGCGGGAGCAGAGAGGGGCGGCGCTGCTGTGATGAGCGGAGAAGCGGAAGATGGGGCGGGTGGAGGGGCGGGCAAGGGCACGGTGGTGTACCACCGCAAGCGACAGCGGTCGTGGCGAACAGCAGGCGGTGGGGGGCACGCGGGCAGCGCTGCTGCCTGGCGCCCTGGCAGGCCCAGAATGGCCGGTCTGTCCCCTGCCCGCCTGCTCCTGCCCGTGCCCCTCACAGCCTCGCCGCTCCTCCCTGAGCCCCACTTCACCTCGCCTCGTCCTGCTCGCCCTCCAGCCGTGCGCCCGTCTGCAGCACAGGACCCAGCATGTGCATCATCAAATAGAGAGGCGCAGCGGCAAGGGGAGGAGGAGCAAGGGGTGGAGGCGGAGGTGGAGGCGGCGAGGGCGAGCGCGAGGAGTGCAAGGGCGAGGGCAGGTGCAGCGAGGGCGAGGGCAAGCGAGCTGCAGCACGTGGCTGATGCGGCGCTGGAGCGCGCCTGCCACCGCCTCGCTCTCCTCCGTGCTGCTCAAGCCGTGCCCACCGCTATGCCCTCTCCCATGCCCCCTGCCGTGCCCCCTGCCATGGCTGCCATGCTCCCTGTTCCTCCCCACCACCTTGTTGATGCCGCTCGTCCACCAGCCACTCTGCCAGCCGTCACTGCAGTCCATGCATGTGCCCCACCGCCCCTAGCACCTCCTCCTGCTGCTCCTCTTGCGGCTGCGTCCGCTGCTGCTCCTGCTCCTGCTGCTGCTTCTGCTCGTGCTGCTGCGGCTGCCGCTGCCGCTGCAACTGCTTCTGATGCTGCTGTTGCTGCTGCTCCTGATGCTGATGCCGTTCGAGCTGCCTCTCCTGCTGCCTCTCCTGCTGCTGCTGCTTCTCCGTGTGCTGACAGTGCAGCTCCGGGTGAATGCCTGGACGGGCATCATTGCCATGGGGAGGGTGAAGCGTGTGGGGAGGGTGAAGCGGGTGGGGAGGGTGAAGAGGGTGGGGAGGATGGCGAGGGTGGGGTGAGGGGCAGTGGGGGAGGTGCTGGGGATGGTGGAGAGGGGAGTGCAGGGTTGGTGGATGGAGGGCGGCAGCATGGCAACGAGGGTGATGCAGTGCGGAATTGTGGCAGCGGGCAGGGTTGTGCTGGGGCGGGGTGTGCAGGGGGGCATGCAGCAGCTTGTGTGAGTGGCGATGGGTGCAGCGAATCAGGTGGGTGTGCGTCCCTGCCGCCTCCTCCATATGCCGCTCAACCTGCCCCCCCTGCCACGCCTACCAGCCTGCCTCCCATGCTGCTGCCTGTGCCGCCAACCGCCCCCCATCCACAGCAGGCAAGCCCCCCTCTCCCTCCTCCCACATCTCCTCCTCAGTCCTCCCCCTCACAGCAGCAGCAGCAGCAGCAGCAGCAGCGGGCGGGCAGCAGCCCAGTGGCGCTGAGGCCGTCGTTCCCGTCGCCCTCGTCGGTGGCCAAGCGAGCAGCCGTCACGTACCGCCGTGCTGACGTCACTCTGCGCCGCGCTGATGTCACGCTGGGCGAGGACGGGTGCGGCTTCAGCCTGCTGCCCTCGCCACACTTCCCCCTGCGGGCTGCCTCCGTCACACACAAGCCTGCTGACATCACTCTCCCGCATGCTGAGGTCACCATCTCAGAGCCCCTCAGTGGCAGCGACGACAGCCGTCGCCCTGGCAGCCCAGCGCCCCCCGTGCCCTCCACACTTGACTCCCTCCAACCCCCCCGCGCTGCACTCGCCCCCATCCCTGCTCCACCGCTCTCTGATGAGCGCGAGGGCGAGGGTGGGCAGGGGTGTGGGGATGTGTGGAGCATGGGAGGAGGGACGAAGGAGAGTGAAGAGAGCAGTAGGGAAGCAATGGGTTCGGCGCTGCCTGCAGCAGTTGAGGTGGACGGGGTGGTGGAGGGGCGTGGCAGCATGGGTGTACACAAGCACATGGCTGGTGGCGGCAGCTGCCAGGCGAGCACTGATGCGGTGCGCATGCAAGTGGATGGGGTGCAGTGGGGTGGAGGGCAGTGGGGCAGCGCATGTGAAGGAGAGGCGATGCAGGCAGCAAGTGAATCAGGTGGAGATGAGACTAGCGGGGAGGGGCGAGGCAGGCAAAGACTCAGGGAGGAGGGATGTGGGGGGAAGCTGGGTGCGCACAGGACAGTCGAGGGGGTTGAGGGGAGAGACGGTGGGTTGGAGGGGTGTGCGAGTGTGATGTATGTGGTGAATGGGCATGTGGAGGGAGGCGCACACACGCGCAGGCAGCAGGTGGGGGAGGATAGGGCAGTTGCCACATGTCACACTGGGGTGGGGGAGAGGGACGCAGCACACGGGTGTGAAGGAGGAGATGGTGGTGTAGAGGGGGCAGTGAGCAGTGGAGTTGAGTGTGCAGCAGCAGGGCAAGTGGGGAGAGGAGGTGCGGATGAGGTGTGCGAGGCAATGCAGGGAGGGCAGTGTGCTCTGCAGGGTGACCCTGCGTGGAGTGGGCATGGCCGCGTGGGGACGGTGTCGGGTGATGTGGCGGAGTGTGAGCGCGGGAGCCACGCAGGCGGGGATGAGGCGGCTTGCGGGGATCGATCAGGGTCGGCAGGTGCAAGGGAGGCTGCCCGTGCGGGGCAGGGTGAGGGCGGTGAGAAGGGCGGGGCAGCTGTGATGGTGGTGGGGCCGTTGCCACCGCTGCCTGTCCCCGAGGCCCCTTTGCGTGAGCGGTGGGTGGGCTGCGGTGCACAGGGGTGGAAGGAAGCTCCCACAGCAGTGGTGCAGGGGCAGGCCCATTCAGGGGAGGTGGGGACAACAGGGGGCATGGGTGGCACAGAGGAGGGTGAGAGGCACAGCAGAGTTGGCAGTTGAGATGCCAGTTTGGTGCGCCTGCAGCTGAGCGCTTGGGTGAGTGCAGCTGAGCCTGTGTGGCTGGAGGATTGTTTGATCAGAAAGTACAACAGGTTGTAGACTTCATGTGGGTGGAACCCAAGGCTCTCAAATTGTGTGGCATTCACTGACTGGTATCTGTGCCACATGATGGGACATGTCAGCCCTTCACAAGGCGCAGCCATCAGCCGCTCCCAGTTGTTTTGGGGCTGATTTGTTGACAATAATCGCGCATGTCCAAAATTTTGTTTTGAATGTACCGTAAGAGGTACCGGTATGTGTAGACAATCCTGGGCACGGACCAGGTCAAACTTAGGTGCACAGACCAGGGATGTTAGCATGCTGTTAACACTCATGGGATTCCTCAGATCTGGCGGCCGACGAAACCGGCGGGCGGGGCGACGCCGATCGACGTCCGGTCAGGGCTAACGTTTTTAGGCTCCCTGATGGAAAGATCTTTTCCCTTTTTTAGTTCGAAGGCTCTTCGATTGCTCAGTCTCCAGAGGTTGCTGCCAAACAATGTTAATATATGTTGGGGTTAGCTTGACGGTATCAGGTTTGTGTGTACACTACCTTGATACCGAAACTTTTTTTAGTGCGGATCAGCTCATACTCCGCGTGCTGACAAACTGTACCACTCTCACACTGCCACCGTTGTTGCTTGTGACCACAGGCGGGAAACCGTATAATGCTGTCGGCGGCACGCCATGTCGCCTTATTGGGTGTTTTACCCACTGGACTGCCAACGCACCCTTGAATCGAGCCACACCACGCCACGCCCACTACCAGCTGAGCCGAGTTGTGCGTCAAGGACGGCTTCATGCTACTTTACTGTAGAAGTTAGCGGTACTTAAATGACAAACTAGCAGTGAAAACAGGCTAAGTATAGAAATACCCTGCTCAAATCAGTGTACTGGTAGATTGATTTACCCTACTGCCAACAAGGTATGGAAATTTTTACCCTATAGGTCAGGGTAAGGAGGGTCTGCAACCCTGATTTGTCAGGGTGGGCCTAAACCAATTCTGGGCCCTGGTTGGGGGGCGCTTATAATTGAGGACCGGCCATAAGCGCATGGCTCCAGATAGAAGCGCCGGCGCTTCTAAGATGGTATCAGATAAGTAACTTCTAGGCCTTAGCCCCGTGTCGCCCTTAAACGCCCCATTACGCTCCGTGTCGCCCTTAAACGCCCCGTTGCACGTTGCCTCCTCGCTACCCCGAGCTGCCCTACGTTGCTCACGCTACCTGCACTGCAGCAGAGCCCCGCATGCACGCGCAGCAGCACGCACACGCGCAGCAGGAGCTTCGCGCGCGCGCACGCACAGCAGCCGCCACCGCGTGGACTGAACCCCGCCGCCGCGCGCCGCTGCACACCCTGACCGAGCCCCGCCCTGCCCTGCCGCCCGCGCACACAGCCTCACGCACGCTGCCGCGCACGAGCAGATGCGCACAGCAGCTGCTGCATGCGCACGTGCAGCTGCCCACGCACTAGGAGCCGCACGTGCAGCAGCAGCACCTGCACGTACCTTCGCTACGAGCCCCTGCCCGTGCTCCTAGACAGGCCACCTTGTTCCCCACCGTTCCTAACCGCTCCCGACCGCATTCTACCGCATCGAGCCCCCCACTTGACCGCTCCCCACCATGCTATACTGCCCTCCACTGCACCCTTACGCACTCGGCCACACCTTTACCGCTCCCCACCGCACTAGTCCTTACCCTACCGTACCTGACCGCTCTCCACCGCACTAGACCGCACCCAACCTCACTCCACCGCACTCACCGCGCTAAACCGCACTCAACCGCACTCGACCGTACCCGAACGCGGTAGACCGTACTCCACCTCACCTGTACCTACTGTCTACCACAAGCCTCTTACCCTTAGCGTCCCTAACGGCGGTTGGCAGCCGTAGCCGACTCTCCTCGTGCCGTTTAGGGTTCGTGTCTCGTTCGGCCTACCGCTCATCGCCTAGTTCCTCTTACATACCCACCCTGGCGTCTCTCAGTCCGTTCGCTCCTGCCTCCGCTCTCTCCTATCGCCTAGTATGGCATCCTATCTGATTTTACGTTTTGACGCCGAGGATCACCCGATCGCGTTTAACTCGTGGCTTACCCATGCCCAACGCCACCTTAGGAGTCTACGTAAGGATAGCGCCAACCACTTTGCTCAAGCATCTGGTACACTACATACCCCTCCGCGCCCTAGTTCCCTGCCTACTGCGCCTCCTCCCACCGCTGATCAGCTAAGTACAATAGGCTTTTCTTGGACGTGACGTATGGGAGTCTCGCGACGCCGCTGCCTACAACGCCCTCACCGACCTTCTCCCGCCGACTGAGGCAGTCCACTTCTCCCAGTGACTCGGCAAAGGACCTGTACAACACTATTCTTGCTCGCTATCACACCCCTTCCTCTGCCTCCCTCGACCACCTCCTTATGCCCTTTGTATTCCTTGTCTCCAACCTTGTCACCAACCTCCGCTCTCTTGACACTAGATTTCGTGCGACTTGCACTGAGGAACAGCTCAAGCTTGCCCCACCGCCTATGTGGCTCACCTTCCACTGGTTAGTCACTCGCCTCCCTGACCGCCTCTCCTCTGCCCACGACGTGCTTCTCCTGAAGCACCCACTGAGCTCACCATTGATCTTCTTGAGTCTACCCTCTTTAAGATCGAGAGCAACCTCCTCGCTGTTGCCGCTGCCACTGTCGAGTGCGGTGCACCCCAGCTTTCCACGTTCACTGCTTTTCTTGCCACTCCTGCGTTGTCTAGTTCTGCGGAGACTGCAGCAATTTCTATCGCCAGTGGATAGAAACATGGCAAGGGAGGTAGGAGAGGGGGGAGGGTTGGTGGTGGCGGTGGTGGTGGTGGCGGTGGTGGAGGTGGTGGCAGTGCTGGTGGTGCCGCTGGTGGCGGCGGTGCTAGTGCAAATAATGAAGCCGGCACTTGAGGTGGTACGGGGCTTGCGGGCCGGATGAAAGATGTTTTTGGGCTAGTTTCTTGGTACATAGAACACCAGGGACAATAGTCCCAGCAGCAGCAGCCACAGCAGGGACATCAGCAGCAGTAGGGACAGCAGCAGCAAGGACCTAGTGGGCCAAGGAGCGCTGGAAGTGGCGGTGGTCCACCCAGATGGGCGCCGCGTGGTGTCACTCCTCCTCCCTGCCCTTACGTGGTTCACACGGGCTCTCGTCAGGGTCAGTCCTGTGGCCGTCTTCACCCTCGGGGTTAGTGCTTTGCTCAGCTCACAGACCGTCTGCATGCTCTGTATGGCTCTGGCCTCATTCCGGACTGGGCCCCATTGGTTCGCTCCCGTGGCCCAGCGTTGTTTTGAAATCATTGCAGTAGAGTTGTCAGCTTAGGACCGTCGCCTTTCGTAGTCTAGGATCCTTGCCTGTTGCTAGTGTAGGTGCTGCTTCATGTACGGGTGACGCGTCACTCTCTTTCACGCTGGACTTTGGTGCGTCTCAGTGCTTCTTCTGCGACCACACGACTCTCACGTCGCTTCCTGCTCTGGGACCAGCAGTTGCACGCAGCTCTACCACCCTCCCGTGCCCGCTGTCCCCTCTCGCGTTCTCACAGGTCTCCACATCCTCTTGTTCTCCAAGAACTTGGTGGGTGTTGCATACCTTTAGGACCACCACGTCGGCATCTAGATTCCTCGGACTGAGCGTGATAGTACCTGCATGGACGGTGACACATACGCTCCCCTGGCCACGTTTCGCCGGGAGCCCTTCTTTGGTCTCTTCACACTGCACTCTCACTCTCACAAGGTAGCTGTGTCTGGTTAGGTGGTTGCGTCCGGTCAGGTCACTGTGTCGTGCTCTTGTCAGTCGCTCACTTACGCGACAGTCCTGTGGCACCACCGTCTTGGTCACCCGTCACTCCCACGCCCCCAACGCATGTCTAGTAAGCATCTCATCACATGTCTCCTGCGCGTGTTTGCGTTGCTCCCTCCTTCGCCTACGCCGGCGTGCACACCCGGCGTAGAGGGTAGGCTGCGCGCCACTCCTCACTCCTCCTCCCTTTGCCGGGCCACCACGACTCTTCACTTGGACTGGGGCCCTACCCCTCGCCCTGGACCTGGGAGGGAGAGCTTCTTCTTGGTGGTCGTTGAAGAATTTTCTCACTACACCACCATGTCCCCCCTGCGGAAGAAGTCCAATGTGACGTCTACCCTAGTAGACGCGCCTCCGTAGTGCCACGCACGGTAGTCGTGTCCTGCGTCTCCACTCCGACCGTGGGGTGGTTTCGTTCCAACGTGCTTGCCAGGTCCTGTAGCGAGGAGGGCATTACTTAGTCCTAAATGCTTCCAGAGTCCACACAGAATGGGGTTGCTGAGCGCCGCATTGGCTTGGTCATGGAGATCGATTGCACCTCCATGATCCATGCTCGTGCGCCCCATTTTCTGTTGGCCTACGCGGACCAGAGGCTTCACCGACCAGTCTTTGGACTGTGTCCCATGGTGTTGCATCGGAGTTCCATGTCTAGGGCTCCCTTGCGCATGTCCGCAATACCTCTGCGGACAAGCTCTCGGCTCGCACCCTCTCCTGTGGCTTCCTTAGTTTCCCAGTGGCCTCCTCTGACTTTGGGCATTGCATGAAATGCATAGCTGTTTCAGCATGCATGCAGGCTTTACCTCTCTTTGTTCTCCTCCTCCCCACTTGATTCCCGCCCTTAAGCCACCATCCCCCGACCTCTGATCCGGTCCCAGCAGTCCCCTAAACATCCTCCGCCTCCACTTGCTCTCCACCTCCTCCTCCACTATGCCTGCGCCACCCCAACCTAGCTCCCCCGCCTCAAGCACCGGATCATGCAGAGCACCCCACACACGCTGTGGTTTTGCCAAGCTACCCACCAAGGTCACATACCACGACGCACCATCCGCACACTCCCCCCCGTCCACTGCCCCAACCAGGCCCTGATACACAGGCGAATCCTTTGGAGTGCATATCCTGGCCCAGAAACAGCGATCGCTGTCTCCATCCTCC